TTTTTAAAATCAATATATCTTTTCCGTATTTTATAATAACAATAAACAAGATATACAAATGATTAGATTGCTATATGTTTTCATTGTAAAAATGTGAAACTCCTGGTCTATTGTTTTTTATTTGTAGACTATATACGGTACTGTATATTTTTAATATTGTTAAATAAAAACTTTGAAAATTCCTAATTCATGTAAAAGCCTACGATTAAAACTATTAATTTATTTAATTTAAAATAAATGATATATCTAATGTCTCTCTTATTATTAATGATTTAGCAAAATGAGACTCTAATTCACAAATTGTAATCATATCTGACATCACATGAGTTTAAACACTTGTTAATTTAAATAAAGTTTTTAGATTTTTTTTGAACATTTAATGATTAATAAATTAATGTTTTATTAACTCAATCTTAGTTTTGTCCTAAATATGTAAGAAAACCAAACTAATGATACAAAACACTTATAAGACTTGGAAATCCGAATAATTGTTTTTTAATTGTTAACAATAATTAGTTTAGAAATATTGATTTAATGTTTTATGTCAACAAAAACTTTTATTTTCAATCATATTCTTAAATAATTGAGACAACTAACGAGCTAATGCTAACACCCTTATTTATGAAACATCAAATCGAAACATTTAATTATATTATCTGTTAGTACTTACTTCTATAAAAATAAATTCTTAAAAGATTAACAATCATATAAGATTTATTAGACTATTATTTTAATTTAAATAAAAAAATTAACATAATATTTCAAAAATTTTGAATTAATTTCTGATAAAGTACTTAAACTTATTAATGTAATTTTTAAGCGATGTTTCGTGTATATGGCATATGACCTTTTGCAAAAAAAAGTTGTAAAATTAAACTAGCTTGTGTGTTGACCTAAATCTGATCGATTGATAAGTCTGGACATAGAATTCATATAAGAGATTTGGAGATTTACTTTATGATAAAATATTCCACTTTTTAAATATGCTTACTGGTATACTGTATATTATATAAATTTAATAAATAAAGTTTGTTTAATACACTTTTATTTCTCATACTAAAATTAATTACTGTAATACAATTTGTAAAAATATTAAACTTTAATGCACATAACATTATCTAGAATAAGTTCTAATTATATAGAGTATATTAAATTAGTTAATTGTTAAACACTTTTACTATATGCTTACGTGTTATATAAAAGTAGTAATATTTTAAAAGGAAATGAAATAATTTAAATGAGAATTGGTTTACAATAGACCGTCAATTGACTGACAGTTTATGAACACAACTTTCATAATAATATATTTTTATTTATTATAGAAATACTGTATATAATATAAACATACTAACTTATACTACATGTTATAATAACGGTATTAGAAATATATTTTAACCAAATAATTTTACCGACAATTGTAAATCTACAGCACTTTTTAAATAATTTAAATAAAACATTTATATAAAATAGTTTAAAAATACTTTCTTGGTTAAATGTATAAATATTGAAATTAATCTAGTAAAGATTTAATTAAAATAGTGTGTAGGGTGTTCTTAACTAAAAGTTGATGACTTATAAAATGGTAGTCAATACGAGTGCAAAGCGATTACAAACTATTTTCCAGCAGTAAATGGTCTCATGACCTCTATATCTGATTGTATTATAAAATGCAATTTGACTATAATTTATTTAATAATTAGTACATTTCGCACAAACTATACAACCAGAAAGTGTAGGAGAACTGACATAACAGTCATGTCATTACACATAATACATACCACACATCCAATGCAACGTAAATATCGTAAAATAATTTTCAAATTATAGATAGGATATTATTGATAATAAAAAAGCAACACTTTTTAAGCACAGATCTGTTATATAAGCGAAAAAAGTTTGCAATTCATTCACAACTCATTCACTCTCTCTTTCTAAGCATTCATTTTCATTCAAATGTTACTACAGTTTAATGCTTCCAAACAAATAGAAGGAAATTCTGTTTCATAACAACAAACAAAACAATAACTATTTCTTTGCTATTATTTATTATGTTATTTAATAGTTTGTGTGTAAAGGAGTCAACAAAAGTTTGTGATTATTTTGATAAAAATTTTGTATATGCATTATATGAAAAATATTTGTAATTAATATATTGTTTTATTCCTGTGTTTAATATAAATGTTTTTCTTATTAGTAAACTTTATTTATTTATTTGCACAATAGTGAATTTCATTTCTCACAATATTGAAGTTATTTTTATTTATTGTTTTTGTTGGAAAACTATTTATTTATTAGCGATCATTATAGTTGAGACGATTTGCTCTCAAATGCAGGACTACTTTGTGTGTCAAACAGACTATAAATTGTGTAACGATTTAAATATTTATATTATTAAGTGATTACTTTCCCATAAATAATAGCCCGTTTTCATATTTATTATAAAATCCATTTCCTTTCATTTGTTACCTGAGAATCGCGTTTCAAAAAAGTTTGTGTGTTTTGTAATTGCATTCAAAGTTTATGAACATTTTGTGAACACAGTTCTCTCCCATTGAATAGTTTTTTCATTTAAATTATTTATTAAATGTATGTTTTGATGTTTTCCTCAAAAATATAATATAGTTTTTGAAAGTTTTCAAAAATTTGCTTTCATTTCATTAATTACAATGAATTTGTTGTACACATGAATAGACAGTGAAATGACAGTAATTTGAAGACAACTTATTTCTCCGATTCTAAGGGAAAATCATTTATAAAAGTCATTCAAATTGTTACTTAAAGTTTTGGCAATTTATTAGTTTTCCTCATATTTCCCAAAATATATCACATCAACAATTGTGTGGACAGTCTGTACGCATATACCGATAGGAATGGCAGTGAATTCAGTGGCAGAGGATGTGAGAGTTGGCGCCGAACGAAGATATCATGACATGAGAACTGTTGGCTATTTTGTGCCCGGAATTAGTGATGACTACGAGCTCAACAAAGTGCCAGGGTGGTTTGACCCACTCAGATACCAGCGATGTATTTATTTGGCACGCAAATACTTTGTCAGGTTTTGATAAAATTATTTTTAACATTTATTTTAATGATTAAAAATAAATTTAAAAGTAACTTGAATTAAAATATTGTCATGTTTACAAAAACATTTTATATTTATTAATTACTATAAACTTTTTAAAATATCTATGTACAATTCGTTTACTAAAAATTAATTTTTATAAACGTATAGCTTATATATTGCTCATTTCATTGGCCTCCTAATGGTTATCCAAATCCCCTCGGGTTTGGCCCCACTCTTAGCCACCGGTAACTCATCAACAGTGGCTAAACTATTTCGCAGATATCTGTCAACACTAATACATGTGAGGAATTGGTACGAAAGTAATCCCTTCGACTCCCAATCCGTTGCATTCAAGTCCATACAAAAGGTGCGATCAATGCATCAACAGTGGCTAAACTATTTCGCAGATATCTGTCAACACTAATACATGTGAGGAATTGGTACGAAAGTAATCCCTTCGACTCCCAATCCGTTGCATTCAAGTCCATACAAAAGGTGCGATCAATGCATAAAAGAGTGGCACATCTGATGAATAATCGCCAAAAAGTCGATACAATTAAAGATAAACTATGGCTCAATCAATACGACTTTGTGATGACTCAGTGGGCTTTTATTGGACCTGTTATTCTGTATCCCGAAGACTGTGGTCTACGACCCGCCAGTCCTCAAGACATCGAAGACATCTGCTATTTATGGCGAGTTATCGGCTATTGTATGGGTATTGAAGACAAGTATAATCTGTGTTCAGGAAATTTAGATGAAGACAGGGAGTTGTGTCGTATATTATTTGAGAGGGAATACCGGCCAGTACTTCAAGATAATGCCATCGAGGGTAACATGGGGTGGCAAATGGGAAATGGTATTGCATTAGCCCTTCAAATGCTGAACCCATCGCTAAGCTTTGAGTCTATCATCTATTACTGGTACCCAAGACTAGAAATTCCTCACAAAATTCAATTGAAGTCTATTTTTCTCAAATTCTCTTATTATTATTTGTGGTTTAATTTTCAGGTAAGAATTGCTTTGAAATTCTTGTGATTTGTTATTTTAATTAACTTTTGAACGACAGGTCGCTCTCCGCTTCTCAATAGCTCACTGGCTGTACGGATGGGTATATCGACTGTTGATTGCATTGGCCGTCAAGAAGAGACAAATCAGAGAAAACATTCTTAAACTCAAATACAAAGACTATAAATACGAGGAGAAGTGTCCCATAAGTAACATTGAGTTAGACTATACCGACGCTTTTAATGAGAAACTTGAACATAAACATTAAAGTAGATAATCATACGGTAGAGTAGTGTACAGATCTGAATATTTGTACAATTTGTATAATCTAATAAATACTCTGACTACAGAATACAAGTTTTATAGTGGATATTGTTTTACTAGTCATTGATTGCATGAACTTTCTAATAAGATTAAAATTTATGTCAATCGTTTAAGTAATAGCTTGTAATGTTTTGTAAAGTCTATTAGTTTCTTTACCAACGAGTATCAATATTATTTATATATTATATTAAGAAACAAAAATTCATTAAAAGTTAAATTAAATTTGGTATCTAAAAGTACCAGTAATACTTTAGATTATGAATTTTAGCACCAATTTATATTTATTCTATGTTTTACCTTTGCAATGTACAGTATGAATGTTATTTTTATGTTTATTAGAGTTGAGATTTAATTAATATGCTTTTACTTTTTATATACAATTCTTCAATGAGTTATTAAAAGTATTGTATTTACTGACACTTTATTGAATATTGTTTGAGAACAAGAATTGCGACAAATTTTGATATAAAATACATTTAAATGTACATTTTTAAAGCACATGATTACCAAAACACCTTTTATTTTAAGAATAATTTATATAAAACCATTAATTATTTAATAAACAATATATAATATTTATTTGAATTTATTATTATTAAAAATGCTGTAAATTGTATTTAATTTTAATAAGACCAATGATATGAGTCTAAGAAAATTTCCGTTATTTATTTATTCGGGAGCTCTTGTGGAGGCGACAATATTGAGCAAGTTCAATTGCTCAACAAGGATGCACAGGATTCTAGCCCTGGTGGAAGAGTTCGCCACCGATTTCACTTTAGTGTCAATTTCAGACACATTGTCACGAATCAAATCCAACATCTGTTTCAATATATAATTGAAATAATAATAAGTTAAATAGCATTTTAAAGTTACCTGTTTACCCTCTGGTGCTGAGTGGCCCAGTATTCACTTCCCAATGCATGCAATTTAGGGATGAGGTCCACGAGAGTAGTCACCACTTTGTCGGTCTGTGTCTTCCAGTCGGCCCAACCCGAGGCCTCGTCCTTACAGACCGTGGGCTTAACAGCGCGTCTCTTAGTGTCCAAATTGCACCTCCAGTTGATCACCTCAGAGGTAACGGCGAATTTACCGGTAGCTAAGGGCTGATCCGTTTTGTTGCTAATGAATGGGATCTCAGCCATTGCTCTGTAGAAACCGTAGTCATAGACGGCGTGATGGATATCTTTGAAGATATCATACAAAACGGACAGCTTTTCATTGTCTCTTAATTTCTCGGCCCACGACATCATGTGGTCATCTAATTCAGAGATGTTGTCATATATCAGTTTGAGGATCTTAAGTGAGCCAAATGTCTCTTTGCTCAGCGCCTGGAGCTTAGCAACGGTTACTTTGATAAGTTTAGACTGTTTTGCTCATCAAACTTATGAAAGTCGGAGAACTCATCGCAAGTCACTATAGGTTTGGACAATGGTTTAGAAAATTAAATGAATACTACTGTCACATTTTGGATTATATATTTAAGTAATTTAAATATATTAATCCTACAAACATTTATATGAGTTTTTTAATAGTTAATATGTAATTCTTACCAAAACACACAACTGGTACTAAAAGAAATGATTTAAACAACATTTTGATTTTATTTTAGTATTTTGAGATATTTATTATTATTTCTGTATTAATTGGCAGACATGCATTTTTAATATTTTAAAATATATTAATTTTTAATGTTTTTAATTTGAACGACAGGTCGCTCTCCGCTTCTCAATAGCTCACTGGCTGTACGGATGGGTATATCGACTGTTGATTGCATTGGCCGTCAAGAAGAGACAAATCAGAGAAAAACACTTTTGCACTCAAATACAAAGATTCCTATACTTTGTCCGTATATTCAATAAAAATTACATTAATATTTATGAGGTTTTACTATGTATAGGTTTGATATAAAACTCATCAAATATTGTATATATTTAATGTTATATTCTTATTGGGTGCATAAAACAGGTGCATTACGGTACACGATATTTAAACACATGACTATCATTTTAAATTGAAAACACATTTTAAAATGACTAAATAATTTATATAAAACCATTAATAATTTGATAATGATTATATAATATTTATTTTATTGTTTATTACAATAAATGGTTCTTTATTTCAATTTGAAATGAGTTACAAAATTGCATTTAAGATCATTTTTGGTACATTTATACCGGGGGTCTGCTGGAGGCAACAGTATTGAGTAAGCTCAATTGCTCAACAAGGATGCATAGGATTCTGGCCCGGGTGGCCGAGTCGGACACAGAGTTGACCGCAGAGTCAATTTCAGGCAAATTGTTTTTAATGAAGTCCAACATCTATTTCAACACATATTTATGTTAACAATACTTAAATAATATTTTAAGCCTTATATTTACCCTCTGGTGCTGAGTGGCCCAGTATTCACTTCCCAATTCATGCAATGTGGGGATCAGTTTGACTAGAGTGGCCTGAACCTGGTCGGTCTGAGTCTTCCAGTCGGCCCTACCTCCGGCCTCATCCTTGCAAACGGTTGGCTGAACGGCGCGTCTCTTAGTGTCCAAATTGCACCTCCAGTTGATCACCTCAGATGNTAGAAAGAGAGAGTGAATGAGTTGTGAATGAATTGCAAACTTTTTTCGCTTATATAACAGATCTGTGCTTAAAAAGTGTTGCTTTTTTATTATCAATGATATCCTATCTATAATTTGAAAATTATTTTACGATATTTACGTTGCATTGGATGTGTGGTATGTATTATGTGTAATGACATGACTGTTATGTCAGTTCTCCTACACTTTCTGGTTGTATAGTTTGTGCGAAATGTACTAATTATTAAATAAATTATAGTCAAA